TCCAAAATTACCAAAATCCATTTATTTTAATTTTTCATATATCCGATTATTTAATATCATTTTTATATTTTGTGTCAAATCTTACAATTCTCATTTCAATTTGATTCACAATTAGCAAAATTAATATTTTGATTCACAATATGATTTTATCAACTATACACTTCACTACAAATTTTTTGGTTTTCAATAGGCAGGTCAGACAACTGAAATGATTGGACATTTCAAATAGTGCAGATAAAATAATTCCACATTTTAGTGCATTGTTGGATGTTCAAGGCAAAAATATTATTCAAGCTTCTAATACACCCATACAATTTATGTGTGAACACATACCATTTGGTATATCCTTAAGCTGTGTGCCTTGACCCTGCATATTTACAAAACACAATGTGAGAAAATTCACAATTACTAAGGGGGAAAAAAAAGTATAGCATAAATTTACTGTCAACACCTTCTCAATGGACAATGCTTTGCTTGCACTTCTCCCAGTCGAAGGCTCCGAATACCGCTCGGCAGTCTTCCTCTCCCTGATCGGCCTCTCAATTGGCGTAACAGGCTCTTTCGAGCCGGGCCCACTCTTCGCCGCCTTCTCATCTTTTGCAGCTTTCTTCGAACTACCCTTTCGGCCTCTCTTCGCCTTCTTGCTTACCTCCTCTGCTTCCTCCTTACTCTCTTCACCTTTCACCTCAGGTTCTTCCTTCTCCTCATCTTCTTCTTCCTTCTCCGCCATTTCCGTATCCTCTTCTTTCTTTTCCGCTTCTTTCTCTTCTTCACCCTCCTCTGTTTTCCCTTCTTCTTTCACTTCACCTTTGTCTTCGACGTTAGCTATTTCTTCTTGTTTCTTGTCTTCTAGGGTTTCAGACGCCATCAAAATGAACTTCCAGAAAAGAGAGAGAGAGAGAGAGAGAGATAGGGTGTGCTGTATGTATATGTATATAGAGAGATCAAAAAAGAACCTAACAGATCAATTCAACAATTCAACAATTCAACAAATATTGATGTATACAAATGTTATACATGCAGTAAAATTCGATAGAGAGAGAGAGAGAGAGTATCGATTAAAGTTCAGTAAATGAGGATCAAGTCAGAATGCCTCTCTCTGAATCTCTGCAAATGAGGTTCAAGTAAGAATGCCTTCAAAACATTGATTTCATAGATCTAGAGAGAGAGAGAGAGACGGTGGAGCTGGCTACCTCGCCGGTGCAGATGACGGTGGCGATGGAGCTTCGAAATTGCTCTGAATCTCGAAATCCATCTGAATCTTCGAAATCGCTTCGAAATCGCTCTGAATCTTTGAAATCGCAGGTGCAGATGGAGCTTCGATGAAGAAATGTGTGCGTATACGGATTGAGAGAGAGAGAGATGTGTGCGTATTCAAGCTTCAAGAACAGCCGATTGATCTCCTCCGTCTTCTTCGTCGCTGAGAGAGAGAGAGAGAGATGTGCGCGAAATTGTATTACACTTCGCACTCAGATTAAAAAATAAGGGTTTCATAAAGGGGCGCGTGTAGCTACAGCATTCGGAGGCGCTTTTAAGCGCCTTCAATTGGAAACGGTGCCGTTTTGGTTTTAAAAAATATGCGACGGTTACAAAACGCCGTTAAAAATTAGCAAACGTGACGTTTAATAAAACGCCGTTAATTAAACGCCGTTAATTGTCTTATTTCCTGTAGTGTAAGCTATATAAATCTGTGCCAAATATATATTTTTCATCTTTCATTCACATGTTTGCTAGTGTCTATATGTGTTTCTATGTATGTGTGAGAGTCAACCATGATTTAAACTCTGTTTGGTTTCCATTAAAACATACTGAAAGATCCTAAGAGAATACGTGCTAGAAGGGTTTGATGCTTTCTATGTTTCTTGTTTCTTAAAACTGCAAAGTTTAATAGAGGATTATCGATTCAAACTTCAAATTTTTCTACAATTCTCTTTCTCCACATATTGACTTTGCTAGAGCATAGATAAGAAACCCAAAGATAGATTTCTCTTACCCACTACTTTTGGTAATTGCTTATCTCTTTTACAGTTTACAATGAGCTCTCATGTTAATACTAACTTATAGTGTTGTTATGGTGTATCATTTTTGTTATATGTTGCTTTCAATAGTGTGAATCATGGTTTCGAAAGTTTGATTATGGGGTGAATTTTTACTTGGTCTTGATTACAAATGACCACAATAATTGAAAAATGTTGTCATCATGACTTGTCTTTAAACTATTTGATTTGATATCAACAGACTAAGATGGGATGTTCAATCTCATATATGATTTGTGAGTTCTGAGGACATTTCATTGTTTCTCTATAAATCATTCAAAAGAATGCCATAAGTTATAACTTTATTTGACTAAATCATTGGTAATGCTTGTTGAACTGTAACGAGTAAGTGTTTAGATGCTTGCGGAGACTTGAATGCAACCAATGCTGAGAGAATGTACTCGGTAGGGTAGGGATATTGGACAAGTTAAATTGCTAATTCGATAAAATGGGATTGCCCGGGAACACATGAACATATATTTTTTATTAACAAAACCTTGTAGTTATAAATAGATTCAAAAGTGAATATTTTCTTTTTTAAAAATCACCAACTCCAAAATGTATTATGAAATGTTCACTTTATCTTAGACTTCCTAATATTAATGTACCCCTTAGAAAACTTGTTAATTTCTGGCTTAATCCTTCATGACTCCATTAATTAGGTTAATATACTAATATATAGAGAATTCTTTGAAGGCAAGGATGAGATCTTTGGGGCCTATGTCGGTTACTTCTTTCTCAATTGCTTTGTGATTTTGCTGACTTGCCTTCACTGTGTAAGCTCAACTCAATATTGATAACATCTAAACACAACTTTAAAATTTTTTGCCTGGAAGTCAAAATGCTCAGTTAAGCCTTTCACTTGATAAGAAACATTTCAACAACCTCATCTCAAATCAGAATTTTCTTATCTAGAATGTCTTAAATTTGTTTTCTTGTTATTGAGACCATTACTTTTCATCTTCATTAGAAAATAGTCATTACGTCCCTTGGTAGTTAAAGAGATTTGCAGCATTGAATAGAGGACATATGTTGAATTATTCCCTTTTTTTTTTTTTTTGGTTGGGTCTAAGGGTGATAGGATACACAACTAGGGTTGAGCGATTTGATTTTAGGTCTCTAGTATCACACTAAAGGACTTCACTAGTGAAGCTAGTTGGCACCTTTGATGCTGAATTCTAATAGTTGCTCCAGTAGATAAGTATTACGTGCACTTTAAAGAGAAAGTTACAAAACCAAATTTCTTTTCCATTCACAGATCATAGACGCCTAATGTTAACAACTTACTCACTACATCCGTGTTCTTTGGCCTTCATCACCAAAAAATCCCCCTTTTGCGTCCATCAAGTCAAGAAAATGAGTTAAGGCGACATAAAAAAAGAGCATTGAAGACAGATTTTGTAAGTACTAAGAGAATAGTCTCAAACAGGTCCAATCAGGTAAAGAAGTCAAAATAGGAAAGATAGGTTTAGGGTAACTGCTCAAGTGAAGGAACTTGAGCTGTGAATACAAGCTCACAGAATTTCTGCTTTGACAGACAGATCCTATGAATATGGACTGACTGCTTAAGCGCAGGATACTAATTCACAACATCTCTGCTCAGAAAGATAGATTCTATAAGGTGCAACACATCATTGATTACTGCTCCATAATCACTCGAGTGGTGTCACCCAGTTTGTTGAATTTAGGCCGTAGAGCAACTTAAAGAATAAAAGCTGATTTGGTGATCTCATGCACAGAACCACATGAAGGAGTGACTATGTTATATATGTGCTAGTTACAATTTGTAATATCAGAATAAGTTCCTATCAATCTGTTATACAAAGTAATTTAAAATTCAAAGTGTACAATGGAAGGATAAAGCACCACATTATGCAATATGTCCCCCTTAAGCTGAAGGTTTTCTAGGAATAAGCTTCAGCTTGTCACACAAAAAGGAAAACCGCATAGAGGAGAGGCCTTTGGTCATAATATCTGCTATTTGATCCTTTGAAGATATAAACAGCACTTGTAAATCCTTGCAAGCAACTTGGGTCATAATGATCGTAGAAATGTGTTGCTATATGATTAATTGGATTCCTAAATGTTAAAATAAAATTATTCTAGAAGTACCTTCAATTCTTATAATGTAATCTATATAAGTCAAAACTAACATACCGTATTTTAGAGCTTGTGGCATACCATGTTCAATGTACCAGAATGAGCATAGAATCAAACTTCTTTATTAGTATTTTTAGTTAGATTGAATAAGATCTTGAGTTCGGTATTTGCAACAATTCATAATCTAACATATCAAATTGCTAGAGAATAATAAAGAAGTTCCATAGTTATTGAAAAACAACAGAGATTTTCAACCATTTCAAATCTCTCTTATATCATAGTACTTAATGCTAGTCAATTATCTTGATAATACATCGAGGGAGAAAAAAAAAGAAACATAAATGCCAAGGACATCAAACAAATAATGAAGTTCAATTAGTCTGCCTTCTATGACCTTCAAGCACTACAACAATAGAAGTTTAGGCTTCATGCACCTTCATGCAAAATGTACATAACTTAAAAAAACTATGTGATAAATGTCGAGCTTTATGAAATCTAAGGCAATCCCTGAAGTGGTGTGTTATGCATAATACATACATATATGATGGCATGTTTATATTTTATTCATTGTTATATTAACTGAATTGTTTACATATTTGAAAATACAAAGAAAAATATTTAAACGTCATATATTATTCTTAACATTTTTGTTGGTTTTCTATGAGTGACATGTCCTAAACTTTGCAAAGCATAATTGTTGTCACTAGGAATTAGGGGTGTAAACAATACATAAAGAAACCGATTGTACTGACCAAACCAGCCTAAATTGACTAGTTTTGGTCAGTTTTATGGAGTTCAGTTTGAACATTTTTTTATTTTTAAAAATTCTATTTTCAATTTGGTACCGATTTTTTAAAACATGAAACCGATTTGGACTGAAACCATGATGTCATCGTTTGTTTTGTGTAGTGTATATGTATAATAAAAGATGCAACAAAGATCTTTGTTTTTTTGTTTTTCTAACACTCGCTAGAATCTTTGTTGGTACTAGTGTATTTTAGGTTTTGTCTCATAACTTGTTATTTTTCATTTAACACTAGAAGAAAGGGAATTGCTTTCTGCAATTAAAAGGGGCAAGATCCTCTGAATTTTTTTATTTTTTTCCCAGTAAAGTCTTCAAAGACTTTTGTATTTGTTAAAGACTTTTGGGATTAGATTTTTATTTTATTACAGAACTTTTGGGCCATTCTATTTGAACCTAAAAATTATCTCAGCATGTCCAATTCGAATTTTAATTCTTATTATATCCTAATGTGAATTTACTAATAAGAACAACACATTAAACCTTAAAATTAAATATTATTTTTTTCTCATGGTATACCCTAATCAATTATACGTATTCTTCCTATTCAAATCTCTTAATCTTTATCCCCAAATTCCACTTATTTCTCTTCTTCTTCTTCCACACTCCAAAATTCCAATCCATCCCACCAAAATGCACCATTGTCATCCACATAATTGTTTTTTTATTATATTGTTATTTGTAAATAGAAGAAAATTTGAACAAAATCAAACAACAAATTAGAGTAATAATCAAAATAGTTTTTTGAAGCAACCCATCAAAGAGGATGTAAGTATTCGCATAAATATTAAAGTACAACTATTAATTTTTGTGTTTTTTTTTTACATAAAAGCGAATATTCAGCCATTTTTTTGTCATTATTGTTCGGATTTTCAGAACCGAACAAAGTCACTTTGTTCAGCAGTGTATAGCCGAACAAAGTGAATTTGTTCGGTTCTGGATGTCCAAACACGAAGTTTCACTCTCCCCTTCTCCTTTGCTGTTCTCTTTCGCCGATGCCACCTTCATTGGTGCCAGGTTCCCTGGTTGTATTACCTATGTCTTCGTGAACAAAAGAAAGATTTTTCAAAAGGTTTTTGAATTTGTTGTATTTGGTTGTACCTCAAAAGGGTAATTTGGGAAAAAAATAGGGTGTTCTGAGAATAAATTGTAACTCTAAATAATTTAATAGGGTGTACTATAAGATTGGGCTCACTTAAACATTTTTTTTGGTGTAAATAGAATTCCCCCATACTTATAGTAGATTGTTATTTTGTTGAAGACTTAGCCCCAATGTTTTTTTTTTTTTTTTTCTTTTTTTCATTTCATTTTGTTTTTTTTTTTTTTAAATATTTTTGTGATAAAAATTGACCCAATTTGTGAAGACCCAAACCGATGAAACCGAACTGACCCAACTGCAAAAGTTTTCTTTTGTGGTTTTTAGTCTATTTGGGTCGTGCAAACAAAAAACCGACTATTTCAATCCGATGGTTAGTTTTCATTAATTCATTAAGAAAATGACATCAACATGGAGATCAATAGAGCATTGGTGCTCCAGAAGAAGGTAAAAATTGAGGTGGAGATATGGCTTAAAAATGTGGAAAAGTTTAAAAATGAAGTGAGTGGTATTGAAACTGAAATCAATGAAAATGCCAGGTGCGTGAGAGGGTGTTCCCCCAATTATTATTCACGTTACAAATTGGGCAAACTTCTTGCAAGTAAAACTCCATATGTGTCTGAGCTTCAAGTGA